ATGGACATAGGAGACGGAAATGTTGAGAGTCTCTGGGTTAGGCTAAAAGGGGTAAAAAACAAGGGTGATGTCATGCTAGGAGTCTACTACAGGCCACCTAACCAGGTGGAAGAGGTGGATGAGGCTTTTTTTAAACAACTAACAAAATCATCCAAAGCCCATGATTTGCTAGTGATGGGGGACTTCAACTATCCAAATATATGTTGGGAAAATAACACAGCGGGGCACAGACTATCCAACAAATTCTTGGACTGCATTGCAGACAACTTTTTATTTCAGAAGGTTGAAAAAGCTACTAGGAGGGAAGCTGTTCTAGACTTGATTTTAACAAATAGGGAGGAACTCATTGAGAATTTGAAAGTAGAAGGCAGCTTGGGTGAAAGTGATCATGAAATCAGAGTTTGAAATTCTAAGGAAGGGTAGAAGGGAGTACAGCAAAATAGAGACAATGGATTTCAGGAAGGCGGATTTTGGTAAGCTCAGAGAGCTGATAGGTAAGGTTCCATGGGAATCAAGACTGAGGGGAAAAACAACTGAGGAGAGTTGGCAGTTTTTCAAAGGGACACTATTAAGGGTCCAAAAGCAAGCTATTCCGTTGGTTGGGAAAGACAGAAAATGTGGCAAAAGACCACCTTGGCTTAACCACGAGATCTTGCATGATCTAAAAAATAAAAAGGAGTCATATAAAAAATGGAAACTAGGACAGATTACAAAGGATGAATATAGGCAAACAACACAGGAATGCAGGGGCAAGATTAGAAAGGCAAAGGCACAAAATGAGCTTAAACTAGCTACGGGAATAAAGGGAAACAAGAAGACTTTTTATCAATACATTAGAAGCAAGAGGAAGACCAAAGACAGGGTAGGCCCATTGCTCAGTGAAGAGGGAGAAACAGTAACAGGAAACTTGGAAATGGCAGAGATGCTTAATGACTTCTTCGTTTCGGTCTTCACCGAGAAGTCTGAAGGAATGCCTAATCTAGTGAATGCTAATGGGGAGGGGGTAGGTTTAGCAGATAAAATAAAAAAAGAACAAGTTAAAAATCACTTAGAAAAGTTAGATGCCTGCAAGTCACCAGGGCCTGATGAAATGCATCCTAGAATACTCAAGGAGCTAATAGAGGAGGTATCTGAGCCTCTAGCTATTATCTTTGGAAAAGCATGGGAGAAGGGAGAGATTCCAGAAGACTGGAAAAGGGCAAATATAGTGCCCATCTATAAAAAGGGAAATAAAAACAACCCAGGAAACTACAGACCAGTTAGTTTAACTTCTGTGCCAAGGAAGATAATGGAGCAAGTAATTAAGGAAATCATCTGCAAACACTTGGAAGGTGGTAAGGTGATAGGGAATAGCCAGCATGGATTTGTAAAGAACAAATCGTGTCAAACCAATCTGATAGCTTTCTTTGATAGGATAACGAGCCTTGTGGATAAGGGAGAAGCTGTGGATGTGGTATACCTAGACTTTAGTAAGGCATTTGATACGGTCTCGCATGATATTCTTATCGATAAACTAGGCAAATACAATTTAGATGGGGCTACTATAAGGTGGGTGCATAACTGGCTGGATAACCGTACTCAGAGAGTTGTTATTAATGGTCCCAATCCTGCTGGAAAGGCATAACAAGTGGGGTTCCGCAGGGGTCTGTTTTGGGACCGGCTCTGTTCAATATCTTCATTAACGACTTAGATATTGGCATAGAAAGTACGCTTATTAAGTTTGCAGATGATACCAAACTGGGAGGGATTGCAACTGCTTTGGAGGACAGGGTCATAATTCAAAATGATCTGGACAAATTGGAGAAATGGTCTGAGGTAAATAGGATGAAGTTTAACAAAGACAAATGCAAAGTACTCCACTTAGGAAGGAACAATCAGTCTCACACATACAGAATGGGAAGAGACTGTCTAGGAAGGAGTATGGCAGAAAGGGATCTAGGGGTTATAGTGGACCACAAGCTAAATATGAGTCAACAGTGTGATGCTGTTGCAAAAAAAGCAAACATGATTCTGGGATACATTAACAGGTGTGTTGTGAGCAAGACACGAGAAGTCATTCTTCCGCTCTACTCTGCGCTGGTTAGGCCTCAACTGGAGTATTGTGTCCAGTTCTGGGCACCGCATTTCAAGAAAGATGTGGAGAAATTGGAGAGGGTCCAGAGAAGAGCAACAAGAATGATTAAAGGTCTTGAGAACATGACCTATGAAGGAAGGCTGAAAGAATTGGGTTTGTTTAGTTTGGAAAAGAGAAGACTGAGAAGGGACATGATAGCAGTTTTCAGGTATCTAAAAGGATGTCATAAGGAGGAGGGAGAAAACTTGTTCACCTTAGCCTCTAAGGATAGAGCAAGAAGCAATGGGCTTAAACTGCAGCAAGGGAGGTTTAGGTTGGACATTAGGAAAAAGTTCCTAACTGTCAGGGTGGTTAAACACTGGAATAAACTGCCTAGGGAGGTTGTGGAATCTCCATCTCTGGAGATATTTAAGAGAAGGTTAGATAAATGTCTATCAGGGATGGTCTAGACAGTATTTGGTCCTGCCATGAGGGCAGGGGACTGGACTCGATGACCTCTCGAGGTCCCTTCCAGTCCTAGAATCTATGAAAATCCTCTTCCTCACTGAAAAATGGAAGGGCCACCAGTGAATCAGGTTGTCCTGGTACCGTGTACACCAGGGAATACGTCAGTGCTGAAGCGTGGGTATTCAGGTATCGATGATACCAATAAGTCCTTATGTTGCAGGAAATGGTGTAATGCTAATGGTTTCAGCACCGAAGTGGTCAATGCCGATGACGTCATTGCAGCTGTGGATGTCAGTGCCAATGCCTAGGTGCTCTGTGTTATCAGGTGGTGGCACCATACACCACAAGGAGAGTCTTGGTCCGCGTCTTTCAGCGGTTCCACCAGTACCACAACAGAGGAGATGGGCTTTTGTTTGCCTCTTGACTCAGAGACTGCCCACTTGGGTTTGGCAGATGATACAGTGTGGGCGGTGCTGGAGAATCCTGGTGCCTCATACATACTCAGCCGCAGTGTGGTCAGTACCAAGGATATCGAATAAGCCGGAGACCACTTCTTTTTTGGTGGCTCTTTTGAGGGAGAAGATGCTGTTCTTTTCCTTGTTACTTTTTAGGAGGGTAACTGCTGGCCGGAATGAGATGCCAGGCACAGAGACTTTTCCATAAGGATAAGTTTTAGATGCAGGTTTCTGTCCTTCCTGGTGCAAGCCTTTAAGTTGCTGCAGTGAGAACACTTTTGTGGGATATGTGTCTAACCTAAGCATCAGACACATTAAGAGTGACCATCCAATACCGTGATAGCTTCCTGGCACGAAAGGAAGCACTTGAAACCCAGTGAACCGAACTATGGTAAGGGTAAGAAATAATTTTTTTTTAAAATTGAGAAAAATAGAGGAGGAAGAAAAAGGGTAGGTAAATCTAACTAGTAAACAAACTACTCTAACTATTCTACACAGTAAATAAAGATATCAGCTATCACACTGCTGGGAGCTCTATCTCAGGCCGAGGACGGTTGAGAAGGAACTGAGGGAGATCAGGTCGCAGCGCAAAATAGGCACTGACAACGGCGCAAGACAGGGACAGCGCATGCGCGACCCAGATGAACACTGCTGCTGAAATTCTCCAACCAAAGACATAACAGGAAGTGGAGCACCCACAAGGACACTCCTTGGAGAAGAACTGCAGCTTGTGTGCATGCATCAAGGACTCTGCAAGTCAGGTGTGTGCAAAACTATGCTCTTCAAACTTAGGCCCTGGAGGATTAGCACACTGTACTTTCTTATTTTAAAACAACAGGACATATTACTTTGTAATGGGATGCTAGGGAGACAGAAGGTGTACATTTTGCCATTAAAGGCTGAGCAGATCTCTGCAATGACTTCTCTCTTACTCATGAGAATTAATCATTAAGTCCATCCATAGATTCAGATCTCTCCTTTATTTCCTGATGCAGCTATACACAGACCCTGTAGATTCTGCTTTTTCTGTCTGGCTATCTTCTGATGTCATTTTGCAAACACTTTCCTAGTACAATTACTTCATTTAGGTTAAGCAAATTAGAGAAGATCACTCATAATTTTATACAAACATTGCAAAAATGTATTAAAGAAATTTCCATTAACTGGTAAAAATGTCCATCATTTCCACAAATCTTTTCCAGAGATCCTAGTTGTTGCTAGGATAATTAAAAGCCCAAGGAACAGAAAGGACTGTTTTGGATGGGAAGGGTCTTTCCCTGGCTTTCTGCAGAATTTAACACCCCCTCCTTAAATTTCTATCTAGTTTGCTTGTGAAAATAGTTTTGACATTAACTCATTTTCTTGATTCAGATCTGTGTTCTGCATGAGACTTTGTGTGACTGTGACCAAGTCAAATAAGTGCCTCACAATTTCCTTATTTTTAAAATGGGGATAACATTACATATTCCCTCACAAGGGTGCTGTGAGGTTTAATTCACACTTGGGAAATGTACTTGTCCAGTATAACTAGACAGACTTGCACATCAGTTGAAAAACTTCCATGTGGATAAAACAAAGTTTAGATCATGCAAATAGCTGAATAGTCTATCAATTCTTTAAAAATTATTTAGATAGACATTTACAACTGTAAAAATATTATCTTGCCTACGGTTGCAAATCCAGTTGAATGCCACTGACATAGGAGATATGGAAGCCTTACTAAATATTCAGACACAAAGGATAACAATAAAAATAACATTGCCATCAGCTAAAAGAGTATTGGACATCCATTGTACTGCAGTATGTAGGAACCTGCAGATTTTCTTTAAACGTGGTCCAGCTGAAAAGACAGTTTAGTTTTTGCTAATAAATACGCTTGAAGTGTCAATCCTTTTGTGTTGCTATGATCTCTTAACTCTAAAACCTAAGGACAGTGCCAAGAAAAACAGAAAACAATCACAGGAAAAAATCTTTGCAGTGATATTAGATGTTTTGGAAGCCCCCTTCTTCCCCTCACTACTTACAGAGAAAAATTTAACGCCAAAAGGATCCTGAAGAAGGCGTTCAAATGAAACGGCCCAGCTTGCAACTCTTCTTTCTCGGAGTCGTCGACAGCTCTGTACACTGGGAAGACTAGCATTGCTACTGAGGCTATTATCACTGATACAGTCTTTTAAATCACTACTGTTTAGCTCTGTTGAAAAAGCACAAAGACACCTGCCAATAGAATTATTTTTTTTTCTATTCTCCACTCCTTAGTAACTTTTTAGTAGGCTTTTCATGACACCTATTGATGTTCACAATAACGCAGACTTCACAAAACACTCTTCGCTCTTTTAGGACCAACTGCACTGAAAACTAACCTTCTCTCAAAATTCTTTCCTATCCAATTACAAAGATAATTAACTATTGTAAGGGCAATAATCCACTTCTTTGAAGCAACTACTGCCTAGAGCACCAAGGGGCCAGGAGCAGGGGAGACAGTCTCCAATCCCCACTACTCTGAACCAGAACTTTGGGCACATATGCCCCAGGAGTACCCCACACTTTCACGATCATCAGGGGGGCTGCAGTTCTCCACAGAATTTCCCAATAGGAATGGTCCTTTAAGAGGAATCCATAATTCATCAGGAAGTGTCAGTAACGCCAGGCAGCAAAGCCTTATGTGCAGTTCCAAGCTCTGTGAGTTGATTTGTGTGATTGGGATACTGACTACTGAATATGGAAAATGAGGGAAAGGATGCAACTGAGGAGGGGGGTAGATAATAAATTGGCCCCAGAGGTACCTTCTCATCCTTGGACAGCCAGAGTATTGCAGTATACGCTCCAAACTTGGTCAGTGAACTTTCTGACACTAGCAGGGACTCACCCCTGCTCTACATACAGCAGCAAAAGAACTGCAAGAAACCTTGGGGCCTCAGTGACCTCCAAATCCATGTGGGGCAAATAACCCATAGTAAGGGTCTTCTTAGAGGCTGCTACTATTCAGCCTCCCCTTCTTAGGGGATGCTGCATTCTTCTTAATGTGATACTGCCCCTAAAAAATTCTCTGGAAGGCTAATAAGGAACAGTAACCTAGTTTACTACAATATTCAAGTGTTTCTAAATAGAATGTTTCACTCTCTTTGGAAAAACAAAGGTAAGAAGTACAGCTAAAAATATTTTCTATCTGAACTTAGGAAAAAATGAACATTTAAAATAAGAAACCACTAGTCCAACTACATACCACAAAACAATATTGACAAAATATTCTCATTACGCCGCAGATATATATAAACTATGTTAAAAGCTGTAATATGATGTTGCTGTGATTTAAGAACACCAAAAAGGGTAGCTGCAACTATAGAGGCTAAGAGAGGATAGGTGTTGTTCATTGCAAGGATGAACTTGTAGGTGAAAAACAACAACAATAACCCCAGTACACCTAACAAACATACCTAACAAACAAACTTAGGCCAATTACACCCACCTTCAAACAAAAACAAAAAAACAATACAACCCTTGCAAGAGTAAAAATATTGCAGGCAAAAGTCTAGCAGCAGAGTGGGGGCTGTCCAGTTTATTGCACTACATGTAGCACATATGATTATCTGCCTCATATGCAGGAGCTGTAGGTGTGCATGTGGTGCAAGTTGCTCATGTCCCCCAGAAACATAGTACGGCATCTTGAGGCCAGAGTAGCTGAACTAGAATAGCTAAGGGAGACAGAGAGGTACTCAGAGGAGAATTTCAGAGACACAATGAAGCAGTCCCATCCCCAGTCTGACAGCCTCTGTGCTGTTAGGGAGGATGAAAGACTTGGGGAAGGAACACATCAGGCTGGAGAGGAGGGAAACAATCCCATCGTTGGGACCCTCCTTCCAGATGATGTCATGGTATCCTCTCACACTGAGGATATTCCTTCTGGAGAGGAACTCCAGTTAGGAAGAACAAAGTAATACTAATGGGGGATCTGAATATTAGATATATGAATAGTTGGTGTTTTGATAACTGGGAGAACCGCATGGTAAATTGCCTGTTGAGTGTGAAGGTTGCAGATCTCAAGAGACATCTAGACAGATTTATGTGCAATGCTGCGGAGGATCTGGTGGTTGTGGTAACATGCAGGTACCAGTGATATAGGGAAAAGAAGAAAAGATGTCCTGGAGGTCAAATTTTGGTTGGTAGGTAACAGATTAAAGTCCAGGACCTCCCTGGTAACATTCTGTGAATGCTTACAGTTCCATTCATAGGGCCAGAAAGACAGGCAGAACACCAAGGTCTCAATGTGTGTATGAGACAATTGTGTAGGGAGGAGGGTTTTAGATTTATTAGAAACTGGGAACCTTTTGGGAAAGGAGGAGCCTATGCAGGAAGGATGGGCTCCACCTAAACCAAAATGGAACCAGACTGCTGACGTGTAAAATTTAAAAGGTTAAATGTTAAATTATAGAGGATTTTTTAAACTAAGGGCTGGGGGAAAGCCAACAGGCACAGAGGAGCATATGGTACGGACAGAGATTTCCCTTATGGATAAATTTATTAAAGAGGAACTCTATATAAAGGAAAGACGTTGGTAAAGTACAAATAGTAGATAGTGAGGAAAGAAATCAAACATGAGAGTCCCATTTAAATATAACACTTGAAAGTAAGCAACTGAAGATTGATAAAATGTACATGTGCTTATATACAAATGCTAAGATGGAGTGCGTAGTAGTAAATGAGGATAATGATGTAATAGGCATCACAGGAACTTAGTGAAATGAGGATAATCAATGGGATACAGTAATACCAGGGTTCAAAACATACAGGAATGACAGAGTAGGTCATGATAGTGTATATGAAAGAAAGCATAGAGTCAAATACAATAAAAATCTTAAATGAAATCAAACTGTACCACAGAATCTCTATGGATAGAAATTCTATGCTTGAACAATAAGAGAACTACCAACCACATGGCCAAGATGGTGACAGTGACTGTGAAATGCTCAGGGAGATTAGAAAGACTAACAGAAAATGCAATAATAAAAGGGAATTTCAACTATCGTCATATTGACTGGGTAATGTCACCTCAGGATGTAGAGATAAAATTTCTAGACACCATAAATGACTGCTTCTTGGAGCATCTTGTCCTGGAACCCACAAAAGAAGAGGCAATTCTTGATTTAGTCCTAAGTGGAGAACAGGATCTAGTCCAAGAGGTGAATACAGCTGAACTGCTTAGGAATAGCGACCATAATGTAATTAAATTTAACATCATTGAAGGGGGGGAAATTCCAAAGAAACCAAACTTCAAACTTCAAAAAGGAGAACTAAACAAAATGAAGAAGGTAGTTAAACGGAAATTAAAAGGAACAGCTGAAAGGTCAAATGGCTGCAAACTGCAAGGGGACTATTTAAAAACACTGTAACAGAGGTTCACAATAAATGTATACCCCAAATAAAAAAAAACCCACTAGAAGGACCAAAAAAATGCCCAGGTTTAAGGAACAAACCTATATATTAAGGACTGCAATATCCAGTGGGAAGAGAAAAAATTCTTAATCTAAATGTTACCCAGTCTAATAGGGTTGAGAGTTTAGACTGTGTGCTTACATTTTATTTTATTTTGGTAACTAACTCTGACTTTTTGCCTATCACTTATAATCACTTAAAATCTATCTTTTGTAATCAATAAACCTGTTTAACTGTTTATCTTTACCAGTGAGTTTGCCCAAAGTGTGTGGTAAATCTGCTTAGAGAATCCACTTTCCATTGATGAAGTGCTGAACCAATTAATAAATTTGCACAGCTCATCTAGAGCAGTGCAAGACGGTATATTCCTGAGGTACAAGGCTGGGAGCTGGGGGGATTTGGCTGGTGCCTTTCTCTGCGTGATTCATGAGGGGCTCTGGGAGCATTCATGCAATCTAGCTCATTGTGGGACTCCACATGCAGTTGTGCTGAGCGATAACAGCTTGCTGCTTGTCACTAGCAAAGCATTGTGAGAGATAGTCAAGGTTGGAGAGTTAAGGGGGCACAGCGGTTCCATGGTCCCAGGCTGCGCACCAGGGATCCTGTCACAGTATTCATCCAAGAGTTCTGAAGGAACTCAAACATGAAATTGCAGAACAACTAACTGGTATATAACCTATCACTAATGTAGCTAATGTAATGCCAATTTTTTTTAAAAGCTCCAGAGGCAATCCTAGCAATTATATGTCAGTCAGCCTAACTTCAGGACCAGAAACACTGGATGAAACTATACTAAAAGAACAGAATTATCAGACATATAGATGAACACGATATGTTTGGGAAGAGTCAATATGCCATTTGCAAAGGGAAATAATGTCTCACCAATCTATTAGAATTCTTTGAGGGGGCCAACAATCATGTGGACAGGGGTGGTCCAGTGGATATAGTATACATGGACTTTCAGAAAGACTTTGACAAGATCACCAAAGGCTGTTAAGCAAAGTAGACAGTCATGGGATAAGAGGGAAGGTTCTCTCATGGATCAATGACTGGTTAAAAGACAGGAAACAAAGAGTAGGAATAAAGGGTCAGTTTTCAGAATGGAGAGAGGTAAATAGCGGGGTCCCCCAAGGATCTGTACTGGAATCTGTGGTGTTCAACGTATTCATAAATCATCTGGAAAAGGCAGCGAAGTGTGAGATGGCAACATTCGCAAATGATACTAAATTACTCAAGATAGTTAGATCCAAAGCAGATTACAAAGAGTTACTAGGGGATCTCACAAAACTGGGTAACTGGGCAACAAAATGACAGATGAAATTCAACATTGATAAATGCAAAGTAATGCACATTGGAAAACATAATCCCAACTCTACATACAAAATGATGCATGTAAATTAGCAGTTATCCCTCAAGAAAGAGGAATGAACAGAGGGAAAGCAAAGAGAGGGAGTTTGCCTTGAAGCTATCCGAGAAGAGCTATGGTGAGTGCTCTTGAGGTAGGTGCTGCATTGGGGGGGGAGGGGCTGTGTTTTGAGTTGATGGGGTGGATATCTGAGTATCTCTGCTGTGACCATCAGTTTGACTAGTGTTTGACTGGTGCTAGTTGCAGAGACTGCTTGACTGCATGTTTGTTTGTTTGAAAAGTGTGAACTGAGAGTGCTTTGTTCTAGGGAGGCCTTGAGTGGTGGTTGACTGAAGTGTGAACCAGAACATAAGAATGGCCATACTGGGTCAGACCAATGGTCCATCTAGCCTAGT